CCGGAAGTGGCGCTGTGGCTCAAGTGGTAGAGTGCTAGCCTTGAGCTGAAGAGCTGAGGGACAGCGCCCAGGCCCAGAGTTCAGGCCCCACGAGTGGACCCAAAAAAACCCAAAAAACAAAAAACTTGCTTCTGGCAGCAAAGTAGGTCTCTAACAGATTATTCTGCTGACAACAGCTAAAAATTCTGGGTAAAATTGTATTTTCTAAAAGTTTTTTTGTCAGTATGCTAGCAAAAAAGAAAAAAAAAAGGTATGTATGTGGGGAAATACTTGGAACCAAAAACTCTATTAGTAAAAGCTGACTCCTGAAGCTAGTATTTTCTAAAAGGACATTTGCTTACTTAATCAGGTGAGCTCAGGCTTTGGCCATGGTAGCTACAGAATGTTCCAGGGCAAGAGGCATCAGCCAAGGTCTGCTCAAGGGAGGAGTCCATTAGAATCCTCCTACTTCCATACAGGAAAAGCTCACACTGCAAATGGTGGAGAAGGAAGGAGGGATTCCTATCTAGCTCCCTTGAGGTCCCTTCTTTTGTTTCTAATTCCTTACCTTTGGAAGACTCAGTTGTTAGCTCAGTTGTTACCCTGGTTGGCTCATTTCTAACCTAAGAAAGACTCTTCTCTTTACACTGGATGGCAGAGGAAGCATGTCTTAGAATGGCAAGCAATGACAGTCTCTGAAAAGGGCCAATACAAGCTGGGCACTGGTGGCTCACCCTAGCTACTCTGGAGGGTGAGATCTGAGGATCTCGGTTCAAAGCCAGCCTGGGCAGGAAAGTCCGTGAGACTCTTATCTCCAATAAACCACTCAGAAAACCGGAAGTGGCTCTGTGGCTCAAGTGGTAGAGCACTAGTCTTGAGTAGAAGGGCTGAGGGACAGAGCCCAGGCCCAGAGTTCAAGACCCATAACCGACAAAAAAAAAAAAAAGGGCCAATACTGTTTGGAGGAGGGCTTGCGTAGGGATGCCATTTGAGAGGCTATGCTTAGAAGAGGATGCTTTAGAAGCCTTAGAGCCTTATTCCAAGTTCTTTCCAACTTGCTGAAATATCAGTCCCAAGAGAAGGAAAAGCATTGGGTAGGTATTAGGGTGAAATCACAGCATAGATAGTCTTTAAAATGGTGAAGATTAAGGGATAAAATAATGAAACAATTATAACAAAAAGTTGGTAACTGTACTGGGTGATGAGTGTATGAGAGTCAATTTACTAAACTTTATTGAGAAAGTCTTCAGTGTATCTGGAAAATATTTCCATATAAAAACTTTAAAGTTCAGGGAAAGCAATTAACATGCTAAAAATAAAATCAAAGTTGTATAAAACATCTGATCCTACTTATTAAGCTCAAAACAGAAGAGAAACAAAGTACTGGCCTAGTGCCATGGCTCAAGTAATATGCCTATCTGTTAAGGCCTGAGGTCCAAATCCCATTACCGCCAATAAACTCTGAAGTCTGAAAATGTTGTATAGGGAAACAAATATAAATGGTAAAATTGTAAATATTAGAGAAATGAACACAAATTTAGGCCAAGCGGTAAAGACTAAGAACAAGAGATACAGCATACAGCTGGGTTGCTCAGTCAATGCTCCCAAGAGAGTAAGAGTTGTGCATGAGAAGAAAGGAAAACAATGGCCCAAAGTCTATTTGATTACAGTCTTAGGTATTTTGCATATGGATACATCAGACATTAAACTGAGGAAACAGTAATAGGAAAGAATTCCCAGGACAGTTTTGTCAGAGAGAGATTTTACAGAGTAACACTGCCATCTATCTGAGAGTATTCAGAAGAAAAAGACCTACTCTACTGCCAAGCTATTTAAATCATGCAGGTAATTTATCCTGAAAAATTTCAGATAATCTATTTCTATTCCAATTACCTTCTAAGTACAGATACTCATGATATGCTACTAATGGAAGAAATGCTTTGATGTGCCAAGAATTACTATAAAACCCTACTGTCAATAGCTGCTTTGGTTAGGACCTGAAGGGCCTGAGGGAAGGGAACACAAAGCCCTTGCAGAGAAAGAATATGCAGGAGGATTTCCACCTTTCCTGCTCTGCTGTGCACATTATTTCTACTTTATCCTGAAAAATCTCTCGAGAACCACTCATGCACTGGGAGTGTTCTACAACTCCCAGTGGTGCCTAGGTAGACTCAAGTATAACTGTGTTGGTAAGGGGGGAAAAAGGGGTGTGGTGTGTCAGTCTGTCTTTCCCCCAATCATCCCAAGAGAACGAAAGTATCAAGATTCTCTCCTCTGAGCAAGGCTGTGGTCTAAGAGAACAGCTGTGGAAATTGACAGGGAAGTAATTATGGAAGGAACCAAGTTTCCATTAAGTCAGTCAGTCGTTATGTTGAAAAATGAACTTTACAACTTTGGTGGGGGGGTTGGTAGTGGGGAGGATGGGAAGGGGAAACAAAGGAGGAGGCTATAATGCTTGCTAAGAAATGTACTAATTATCTTGCCCATGTAATTGTAACCCCTCTGTACAGTATGTTCACAATAAAAAAGTTAAAATTAAAATTAAAAAAAAAAGACTGGAAAAGTGACAGGCAAGCAGTTAAGTGAACTTCACTGAAGGAATCAAACTGGAACTTCAACAAGAAGGAAATCCTCCAAACAGCCAACTTTAACCCAGTCCTACTTTAACGATTATCTTATATTGAAACTGGACAGGAGGCTATGACAGATGATCAAAAGTACAAGACCACCCTAGGATCCATTTAAGCAACATGAAGATTCTGCAATATAAAATCAGATGTAGAAAAGAGAAAAAATTGCATACACTTTATACCTGCAGCTATGAAAAATACACATGGCCAAGGAACCAAAGGAGTTATACAAGCACAAAAATAGTCAATGTGTTAGCTATTAGCTATTTTCCATCTCTCCCTCCCCGAAAATCAATTTTCCAAACTTGTTTTATTTCCATTATATATTTTTTAAACCAGCTGTTTCTTCTTACCATAAGCATTATACATCTTGGGACCCAGGTCTGGCCGAACAAAGTAGTTTGGCAACCTAGAGGCCAAGTTCAGTTTGCCATCTCTCCTTGTGTACTCAGGCAGTGGAATGTTAGCCATCAGATCATCAAATCTAAGAGAAAGACGGAAATTTGCCAAATAAGCTTGCTTTTCTCAGTTATTGTATGATTTATTTTGCTCCATCTTCTATACCAAAAGAAACAAATATATCTGTGATCATTAAGTTGGATATAGCTATTGGTAATATTTAAGACTAGAATTACAGCAGTCATGAACGAAGACATTTTTCTCTCTTCTACATCTCGCAACTGTGCCCAAATGTTTGGGAATATCTTAGACAAAATCTCTGAATAGCCAGGCACCAAAGATTCATACCTATAAAACCTAGCTAATTAGAGGCTTTGAGCTGAGGATTGCAGTTTGAAGTCAGGCCAGGCAGTGAAGTCTCTGAGAGTTTTATCTCCAATTAACCACACAAAAGACAAAAGTGGTCGGGCTGGGAAGGTGGCTCAGTGGTAGAGCGTTTGCCTTGCATGCATGAGGCCCTGGGTTCGATTCCCCAGCACCACATAAGCAAAAAGGAAAAAAAGCCAAAAGTGGCGTTGTGGCTCAAGTGGTAGAGTGCTAGCCTTGAGTTGAAGAGCTGAGGGACAGCGCCCAGGCCCAGAGTTCAGGCCCATGACTGGAAACCCCCCCCCCAAAAAGAAAAACCAAAGCAAAAAGACAAAAGTGGTATAGGTGCAGTGGCTAAAGTGGTAGAGGCTACTCTTGAGCAAAAAAAACCCTCAGGGACAGTACCCAGACACTGAGGTCAAGCCTGAGGACTGGTACAAGATCTGGGCAGCAACTTCCTGATTAAGAACACTCAAGGATAAAATTAGTTGTGATGTTCCTTTTCATGATTTCATGCTCAACTCAGGAAAATGGAGCTACCAATTCAGAATATTGAGAAGTGACTGGCGTTTCCCCCATCTGACTGTAAACTGGCTGCAGGTCTACACCAACCTCTTCTGTGGTGGAGCACTTCCTCCATTAGTCAAGCCAGATCTACAACTCATTAGCTTTACCTCATTTAAAAACGCATCTCCTGCACCAGTGGCTCATCACCTCTATAACCTTGGCTATTCAGGAGGTTGAGATCCAAGATTTCAGGGTGGACAAATCCTTCAGACTCTTTAATCTCTAGCAAACTAACTAGCAAAAACCTGGAACTAGACATGTAGCTCGAGTGCTAAGAGTGCTGCCATAAGTGAAAAGCCAAGATCAAGTAACAGTACAGACATTAAAAAAGAAAAGCAAAAAAACCCCAAACCTGTCTCCAAAAGTTATAGGTAAGAAACAAAAGTATCAGTAAAACCTTGGAAGTTTGATATCCCAAATGACTTTTTTTTTTTTACGGCCTCAAAGAAGAATTTAGCCTACCAAATCAGAACCTCTCTCTACCTTTAGAAGAATTTAGCCTACCAAATCAGAACCTCTCTCTACCTTTAGAAGAATTTAGCCTACCAAATCAGAACCTCTCTCTCCTTTAGAATCCTACCTGGACGGCATCATGTCTCTAAAATCTTCTCCTGGTGGCCAGTCCTTAAGTTTCAACACCATTGGTTCTTTATCATTTTTCAGACGATCTGAAAGGTAACATCCAGATTACATTAACTATTTGTAACTCAGAAACACACACAACAAATTAGCATTATTTTTGTTTCAACAATGGAGACAACTTCTCTATATAAAAATTTCACAACCCATTTAGTATAGAAATTCTATTTTTAAAAATCCCCCACTTACCAATTGCAAACCCTTTTATTCCTATAGCATCAAATTACTGTGTACCCTTGAAGACAGAAAATTAAAGACCCCAAATTAAGGTGTATTAGGGTCATATCTTTATAGATGGTTCTTTAAATTGTTACTTGTTCCTTGAGGTCCAGCCATTCCTTTAAGGCCCATCTGCTTCTCTTGCTCAGTGTTCCAGAAGCACCATGCAGCTCCCAGCTAGCCAAAGCATCACACTTTAATAATCAAAACCCACAGGGGTTTAAATATAATTTTCTGAGGCAGCATGAAATAAAAATGACGTGGTTTTGCTCAGAGATGGAGACCACCTCATCTTCTTTGAGGGTTTTCTGGGCGATATCTCTCGGGTTTAAGTCAGAACTTTTTTTTTTGGGGGGGGGGAGGTGTTGTCCTTGTAGGGCTTGAACTCTGGGCTTGGGCGCTCAGAGCCCTTCGGCTCAAGGTAAATGCTCTACCATTTGAGCCACAGCACCACTTCAGGTTTTCTGGTGGTTAATTGGAGATGAGTCTCACAGACTTTCCTGCCCAGACTGGCTTTGAACCACGATCCTCAGATCTCAGCATCCTTAGTAGCTAGGATTACAGGCATGAGCCACCAGCACTCAGCTTAGTCAGAACTTTTTTTGCACTATGAACTTTATAACTTCGAAGACTTGTGAGATTAAAAGAGGAAAAGTAGACACTTTTTTACATCTAAACCCCCTTGAAACATCTTTCATACATACTGGGAACATCTTCAAATCCATCCCAGAAGTCTCCCACTGTGGCTCCGGTGATGATTTCATTGGTCCTACAATTAACTAGGTCCACTTCCTGCTCACCAAACTCTTTCCGAAAGGATTCAGGTTTCCAAAGTTCAGTGTTCAGTTTATGATGTACTCCTGACACCATCACTGGCTACAAGGGAAGAAAGAAAACTTTAGTTTGAATACCTCCAGCTCTGTGTAGGCCACAGACAGCCCACCTTCAAGCAGCTACTGGTTTGTTTCCATGAGGCTGTTCTTCAGTCTCAGCTGACAACACAATGGCTTGTAAAGCAGCTCTAATCCTCACCATTCATCTATTACACATTCTGGTCTCAAACTACATGACTAAGCTTCTGCTAGGAAGGATCACCCTACTGACCTGGATCCTGTTCAGAAAAAAAAGGCCCAGGGCCAAGCAGGGATGCCCTTCAAAAATGCACTGCTATGGGCCTACAGCCCACCACTGACAAGCAGCAATATGGATCTGAAGGTGCCAATACTTTGTTGTCCAGGATACCTGGGATTTATGTTAAACAGCCTGCTTTTAACATACTAGCAAAGGACTACGGTGTGGCTAACTGGTATGAAGCTTGAAGTCCTGAGCTTAAATCCTAGAACTGACAACAAAAATAATGCTGAAAATAACTTCAATAATTTTTATGCAACCAAGATTTGCACAGTATTATATAGTGAAAAAAAGCCCTGCTGGTTTGGTTAACTGTTCCTACAACCTCTGAATGTTAGCAAATCCTAGCAGTATACACAGAACTCAGAAAAACACCAAGCTGCTGTGCAATCCTTTTCTATCTGACACTTCCCCCAAATTCTTGTCCAAGAACAATGTGTTCTTTTAGTGGGGATACTACTTGGCTAAAAAGAAAATCCAAAGATCCAGAAAGCAAAACAAACCAAAGCAGCACAGAAATGGGCCAATAAAGCTATGCATCTCCTAAACAAATCAACCACAACTCAAGACCTAACAATACTGTTTTTAAAGAAGGTTCCTTGGGAGGGGGGGAGAGAAGACACTCTGACTGATATCACATGGCTCCAACCCTCCACCTGCAGTCAGCACAGGCTTTTATGCAGGGAAGTAGAAAGCATAATTTTTTTTTT